CAGAGAACTAGGACAGATCAGGATAGAACATCGACATGGGTAATTCTGGATATATGAATTTATGAATTATAATTGATTGTTGGTATGTTATAAATATTATTATAGACCTTGCTTTGAATTCGAGAACCCATTGACTCATGAATCAATTACAATAAAGAATGCTGAAAAACTGAACAGCAATGAGATGCTTGTTGTGTATAAACAAGAACAAGAGTTAATTCAGAGAAGGCTTGTTCCAGGTCCAGCTATATTTGTTCCTGAATCAAATGAATGGTAACAGATTTTCCTAATTACATACTCTGGAATCACTATTTCAAGGACGGAATGGGATAATTGACTGGACTATATGATTGTAGAATATGATTGTTTGGGTGGGTTCAGGGTTGGGGTTAATTTTTAACATGGTCGAGGTGACGAGATCTATATTGACAAGTGATTGCCAGTCAACTCGTACTACAGGGCCAGCGTCACTGGTCCGGTTGGCTTCAAAATCTGTAGCGCCGGCCTGTACTAAGTCAACTCAACATGATGGGCGTTAAAATACTCTGATCAACAGCTGGAAGGGTGTGTATAACTAGTACAAGAAAAAATCTGGGTCAAAAAGCAATAAGAAACACTCTTAACACAACATCGAGGGATGTAAAAATAGGTATGAGGTGCTGAAATAATAGATACGAGTTAGCTGAAATAATAGGTACGAGTTGGCCAGAAATGAAGACGACTTGTGCCAAAATAAGCACGAAAAGACACAAAAAATAAGTACTAGTTGACTGCGAACTATCACGTCAATACAAAGATTGTATTGTTTTGTATTACAAGCCAATAAATCCAAATTGGATATGCCAGTTATCTAAATTCAAAAAGTAATATACATTTATGCATAGAATGCTATGGTTTGTGTATTATAAAATCTATTAGGTTTCATCAATTTAAATGGCACGGACAAGACCTAGAGAATCTCGGGAAAATAAGACCTGGAGTTCATCAATTCACGAAACTTCAGATGATTCCTTCACAAATTTACTATGATGTAAGTTTCACAAATTTATAGGATTGGAATACTTGATATTTTTTATCTGGGGGACTAGCTCAAATGGTAGAGCGCTCGCTTAGCATGCGAGAGGCACCGGGATCGATGCCCGGGTCTTCCATACTTTTTTGTTCTTTTGTCTTTTGGAAGACAAAAAGTCAGCGGCTCGAACCACCAGCCTCTCGGTTAGCAGCCATTCCGTTCACGTCAATGAATTCTTTATTTTCTGTATATACGCATTACGTAGATTGTAAATTTCGAGATCAACCATTCGTTCTCATTCATTAACATCCTTAAAATCCTATTAATTCATTACCTTTACTTGCTCCAATTTTTATTTTTTCTCTATTTCCCTCTTGCACATATCAGGTGACAGAGGTTAGTTCAATATCATACTAACTACATGTAAATATACGTATATTCACTCTGAGGATAATAATAGGTTCGTACTAATGATGATATCCTGATCGAAATACAGCTCATGTTATTCTATGAAATATCCGATGTTGATAGAATGGTATGTTATACGTATCCTCAAAACAAATCGTTTGATATTGTGATTACATATTATACGGTTAAACCTGCATAATTCGACAATTTTATGTCCCAACTAGCGTAGCATCATGCAAGTTCCACTGTATTCGTATGCATGTATTATTCTATTATTTTACAGTTGAATGGGAGTACAGATCCTATCGCAGATTTGATAAAGTGAGTAATTCATATCTCATCAATTTTTGAGCGTTACGTATTCAATCATTTACATTCTCTTTAGTGCTGTTGCTTCAGATGTTATTTCTTTCGTTTCTGCTCTCAGGTATACACGTTTAGCCTAGAAAGTATTTTAAAAGCTTGATTACTGTCTTTATTAGTTATCAAGATTTCCTCCAACAAACTGGGCTACTCAGTGACATGAAAACTTACGCTCAGTTGGATAACAGAGCTGATAAGATCGGATGTTCAATCAGTAATGTAGTTTATCGTGGCTACAAAGCTCCTCAAAAGTTACAAGCAATTCAACTGAATGCAATTACATCCAGGACCAACCTGAAAATCAAGAATGAGTTGGACAACATGTCCAATGAGATTACTTCATTCAAGTTGACTAAAGAGATGGACAGACTTGATCTAAGTATGAATTTTCTTTAATTAAAGGTACATGAATATAATACATTTTATGAAATGTCTAATATATTCTAGAGCAACAAGTAGATCAGCTGAGATCAGAAATGAAACATGCTATCGACCAGACTGCTAAAAATCATGAGATTACACTCAACCAGATGAAGCATCAAGCTGCTATAGAAGAAGAGGATTCACTTGCAGCACATCAACTTGAGATGAAGAAAGGAGACAAAGATTTGGAAATTAGGTTCTTGAAAGAGTTAAAAGTTCTTGGAGTGGATATCAATGCCTACCTCAAGGGGCAGCAGGAAACACCAGTTGCAGAAGAGATTCAAATCCACCCAACAACTATGTTATAACTTACAGAAAAACTTCTCTCTACATAAGATTTGTATGAGTAGTAGATTGTAAATATTCTCATCCTTTTCAGAATAGTTGCAGTATATTTTGAAACATTTATCATTTTTAGTTTTTGAGCAATATCAGTCTTCATGTTATGGACTATGGAGTATTTTATTCACTTCTGATGTAAATCAAAGTATAGATAATTATTTTATGTTATTATCCATGGTAAGTCTAGCAAGTTCAATTGCAGATGGCCGCAGGGACAGCAAACCAAACTTACAATTTATACAAGAGTGTCATTGATGAAGTAATCAAAAATGTGAGAGACGCGTTTCGCAATGAGGGACACGATGAAAAAGTTATTATAGAGCTGAGAAATGCATGGGAGGAGAGACTTAAAGATTCTGAAGCTGTTAAAGTGTCAAAAAATGACATCAACATCCCTGACACTTCCTCTACTATATACCCACACAATACAATCACAAAATCACACCCAATTAATCACCTACCGATGCCTAGTGGCTCCTCTCTGGTGGATAACTTCAGATCTGGAGGAGATGAACGTGTACACGCTCGAGAGCTTGATGTTCATTCACAAGCTTCCTCCCTGTTCCGTATGAAAAAGCATCCTATGCAACAACCTCACCATTCTATGCACCCGTATCCTAATCCATTGATGCACCCACAGATGTATCTCGGCCATCCCCCTATGCCTCCTCCTCAGATGCGCCAATTCGAAAAATTTGAGAGTTCCCTCGGCTCTCCAGAAGATAAACCGAGTAAAGAGAAGCTTCCTGGATTCAAATCTGAAGGGAAGAGACAACAAACTGATATGAGTATGGTCAGTTCTCAACTCGTATAATTTATAAGGTTACACATTCTTAATAATTAATCCGTGTGTAGTTTGAAAAAGCTCCCAGTGCCAAGAGAAGTCGCATGGGGCAAGTTGACGGAACTGGGGGAGGACACGGGACCGGAACAAGTGGAACAGGAGCTACAGGGGGTGCTGACGTCATAGAGGACAGTACTGATGACGAGATTGACGATGACGATCTGGATGATGATGATGATCAATCTGACAATTCTGAAATTGCTCCCGGTGATATAGACAGTATTGGAGTGCGTAAAGCTGATGGAGCCAAGGGAACTAGTGGGGGCGAGGCCGAAGGGGGGAAAGACCCAGAAGGTGTGGAAGGAGACGAAGAACTCGGAAGTACTGACGATGATGATAGCGGTGATGATCACGAAGACCATTTCGAAACGGAGAATATGGTTGTATGTCAATTCAAAAAAGTTACTCGCACACGCAATAAATGGAGGTTCCATTTAAAAGATGGAATTATGAATCTAAACGGGTTCGATCAAGTTTTCAGTCAAGCAACTGGAGAAGCAGATTGGTGATACTCTCTCCTGCATATTGTACAGTTGGTTTCTAAATTATTTCTATACTCTAATGAGAATCTATTTGAATCAGGCGCAGCTAATATCAACATCAAACATTAGCTTTATTGGAGAAAAATCTGTTGAAATTAATAACCTGATAATATGTCTTGTCCGGTTGCTGAGACACTGATGAATTTTATTAAACTTATGTGGACTCACTCTTGTTATTATACTTATCTAACATGCTATTTTCTTGAGTCTTATTCTATTTGTTATAAATTGTAATTTCGTAATTAACCCACATGCTAATATTCAGAGCAGCTATAGCTATACTTGCTATAACATGCTTTCTCAAACTCTCATGGGTTATGGGATCCCCTCTATAACCCTAGGCTGAGATTTGCAACAATATTTGAGCACTCTTTAGGACTGCTCTGCACCAGACTAGAAATTCATATGGACATTCCTTTAAAATATCATCTTATATATGCGGTTCCGTGTTTGTTCCGGGTTGGTCCAGTTCTTGGAACGGTAGAACCAAGACTGAACCCTACCTTGTTGGTTCAAATTTTGAAAATAATAACCTTATTCAGAGCAATACGACAGCAAGGCAACATGCACGATGCAAGAATGTTACATAAGAAATTATATTTTCATGCAACATTGTGCAGGAAAATAGAACATGTTCCTATTTCATGCAACATAATTGGCCTAAATAGAGGTATTGAAATGTGAGTGCGCATACACATTGAGGAGCTTACGGATTGAGGGTTGGCTGATCGCCAACCCTCACTCCTAAAGTGTAGTAAATACACCAATACAACATTGCATATCCGGCGCACTCGACTTTTACTGCATGCTCAAAATTAAAAAGAAATTTCAAAAATTTTGCATGGAAAAACCAACAAATACGATGTAACTTTGATGAAAGCAACAATGTTGGATCGTATATGGTGGGCTTTTTGGTCAACTCATACTTGTTTAGACCCACTCAGTATCTTAGAGCATTCCTTATTGCTTGCGGCCCAATTTTTCTTTTCTTGTAAAGTACTAGTTACGAGCAATATTTCTTACTTTTTCAAGTGTTTATATTTTTGAATTGAAAGCAAAAAGTAAGCGGACCTGGGTGGGCTTGAACCACCAACCTTTCGGTTAACAGCCGAACGCGCTAACCGATTGCGCCACAAGTCCATGAATATAATTGTTTCATTTCTCTGCCTTTTCAGCAATTTATATTTTCTTGTATACAGTTAGGGTTGCTTATTGTAAACCGCATGGGATGATCTTTTTGGGCCACTGGCTTTGTTTATTAACGTGAACGGTTCACGATTACACTTGTCTATATACAGTTGAAATCGGATTATTTTGTCCCCGAAAAAGGGTTGTAAAGCCATTTCTTGCATATGCGCATTATTCCCTAGGGAGTATTGTTCTCGGACATTCACTAGTTAGATTTTTCTTGAGTAAGTGAAAATATTGATTGAAAGTGCTGAACACAGTCGTGAAACTACGTAGTTCAAGCTGCAGTTGGCATTTCATTGCACTATTCAAAGTGTATGTAAATCTGATATTTAACTCGGAGTGGTATCATGAATGCTCACACGGACTTGTGTGCATGTGATCATGTATATTCGATCTACTGAGTATGCCCACTCGAGTTTCTAACTCCTCATGCTCACTTGTTGGTAGTCTTTTCATCCTTTGTACAACTTTCGAAATATGTACAGTGGAGTCTCCCAAAACGGACACTCCGAGAAGCGGTCAAACCTCGTGGCACGGATTGAATTTGACAAGCATGTAATTACTACTTAAGCAATCTCCGTGAAGCAAACAATTCTCTACAACGGACACAATGCCATGTCCCCAACGTGTCCGTTATTCGGAGACTCCACTGTACTCCTAGATCATATAATATTGTTTCAAACACTTTCAATGCATTTCACTACACTAAATGAAATATTTTGAAATTGTATATTTGAACAGTGCTGTTCGGATTAACCAGGGTGTATTATACAATTATATAATTTTCGATCGTTTTAGGCATACAGAATTTGAAAATTTTCGAATCTAGACCCCAAAATGTATGTACAAATTATCATGGCTGGCGGACGGACGTACGCACTAGAGCATCTCCCTAATATAAATTTCAGAAAATGATCTAAAAAATTATCATGAACGTGATTACGATCATTCATTTGGTGATCGATTGATGCCCAATACCCTCATTGTGCTCATCATTTTGGCTAAAATCAGACTTGAATATGTTTATAAGTAGCTAATTAGTACACAGAGCAGCTTCCTACAATTTTGTGAGTAAGAATATTAGAATGCTAATTTTACTAACTTTAAAATGAGCTTTCTTACTTTCCAATCCTTCTGAAATAGTTTCTAAAAACTCTACTTTCATCTTTCCCATATAGAATTGCTCTACTTCGCTGATACTAATTGCACAAGGGGGACCTGAGAATTCATCCCTAGGGTACTCAAATGTATTCAGTAGCATTCTACCTGTTGGCTTGAGGAGGCAAGTTTGTAATTCGACGTATGCTTCTCTCTCCATAGGGTCAATCGCTATAAAACTGTTCCAATCTAGAATCGCATCAAATATGCCAATATGGTCTTTGCTAATTTTGAATAACTCTCCCTGATATAATTTTATTTTGAGATCCTCGGATATTAGTAGATGCTCCGCACCACTCTTTTCATCAACTTTCTCTGAGAATTTTATCTTGTTATCTTGGAAAAATTCTTTGCAAGCTTTATAGCTCAAGTCTATTCCTACTACTTCATGCCCTCTTTCATATAAGAATTTCATTTCTAGAGTTTTACCACACAAAGGTACTAGAATTCGCTTTAATTCACCTTTATCAGTCATCTGGTCATAGTACTTGACAACATCGTTTCTCACTTCTTCACATTGCCATGGTGTTTTTCTAGTGTTCCATAGGTTTTCCCAGTATTCTAACGAGAATGTATTTGAAATTCCTGATGCCATAGGTTCTAACAGTGTTTATGTAGTCTATTAACCTAGTTGCATCAATTATTGATGGATGAATTATACTTGTATAATAATAATATTACGTATTTAAGTACAAATCACTACAAATAGAGAATAAGAGCCGCTTCGCTTTCTCGCGCTGCGCGGCTTGTGAACACCATAACAACAACAATAAAATTACGTATGATTAATTCATAAGTGTGAAATCAGATTCAGCATATTTGATATATTTATTCAAGTATATAGAATTCTGTTACATTCTTGATAAACACCATAGTGACATCTCATAATTAGGAAATTCGAATTCAACACAACATTCCATAAATCCTTTGATTGACAACGGACAAACAAACAAACACCTAACAATCGAATTTTAAGGCGATCTATAGGTTAATTTTTCATATAAATTCCTTTTCGATTCCTTTTCTTTAGGAAAAATTAATTTATAAGCGTTGCAAAATGGCAACATCTCCTGTCGATTCTGCCAAACAAGAAACAGAACCTGACCAACTGGTGAAAGAAAAACCAGAACTTGCCACACCTGTAACACCTGAATCCAAGCAAGAAGCAGAATCTTACAAAACTAAAGCAAACGAGCAATTCAAGGACAAGAAATTCAATGATGCAATTCAGAATTACACCGAAGCTATTAAACTAGATTCTACTAATCCCATATACTATAGTAACCGAAGTATGGCGTATCTCCGTGTGGAAAGTTTTGGCTATGCACTCGAAGACGCTTCAAAAGCTATAGAGTTAGATAATAAATATACCAAAGCTTATTACCGTAGAGCATCTTCTAATATGGCTCTAGGGAAATTTAAAAAAGCATTGAAAGACTATGAAGCTGTTATGAAAGTATTTCCTAAAGATCCTGATGCAAAAGCGAAATTCGCTGAGTGCAATAAGATAGTAAACAGACAAGCATTTATGAAGGCAATTTCCATTGAAACCGTTACCAAGCCTGCAATACGATCTATTCAAGTTGAAGCGTATGCGGTTGAAGATAGTTATGATGGTCCACGTCTTGAAGGCGATATAACGGCTGATTTTATGCAACAACTAATTGATCGATTCAGGGATCAAAAGTTGCTGCATAAAAGGTATGCATACAAGATCTTGATTGAAATTAGAAAATATTTTGAGGCAGAACAAACTGTGAGAGATGTTAGATTTCCGAAAAATGGAAAGTTCACGTTATGTGGTGATATACATGGTCAATACTATGATCTTCTAAATATCTTCAAGTTAAATGGACTCCCTTCACCTGACAATCCTTATCTATTCAACGGGGACTTTGTTGACCGTGGTTCTTTCTCCGTTGAAGTAATATTCACAATGTTTGGCTTCAAATTACTCTACCCAGACCATTTCTTCATGGCTCGTGGTAACCATGAAACAGAAACAATGAATCAAATGTATGGATTCGATGGAGAAGTCAAATATAAGTACTCATCTCAGATGTCTGAAATATTCACAGACATCTTCAACTGTCTTCCTCTGGCGCATCTTATAAATGATAAAGTACTTGTTATGCATGGCGGATTGTTTTCTAAAGATGACGTAACTCTGGATGACATCCGTAAGATTGATCGATTCAGACAGCCGCCAGAGGAAGGACTCATGTGCGAACTATTGTGGTCAGATCCACAACACTTTAATGGACGATCACCAAGCAAAAGAGGTGTGGGGGTACATTTTGGTCCTGATGTAACGTCAAAGTTTTTAGAGAAGAATAAACTAGACTATATTGTGCGGAGTCATGAGGTTAAAGATGAGGGGTTCGAAGTTGCGCACGATGGCAAATGCATAACAATATTCTCTGCACCTAATTATTGCGATCAGATGGGAAACAAGGGAGCTTACATAAATATCACCAGTGACCTCAAGCCTATTTACAAATCATATTCTGCAGTATCTCATCCCAGTGTAAAGCCAATGGCTTATGCTTCTCCATTGCTTGGATTGTTTTGAATACAACAAATTAGTTTAGATATTTTTCAATTCGATCAACTTAATCTCTGATTTGATCAAAATTGGAGTTCATAATTTTCTCCCAATGTATTTTAATTGTATACATCAAGGATTATCTAGGAACGCCGGACGCTCCTCTACTCACATGATTTCTGATGAAACTATATTTAGGTGCGTGGAAATTGAGGATCTTTCCTTATACCGTAACACTGATTTAGGCGTATTAAAATTCGGGAGGAGGAGCGCTACGAATGTGCTCGTGAAACCCTGTATAATTATCCCCCTGGTGTATATACATTCAATAATTAAGACTTATGATTGAGGGACTATCAAACTGGTGAGTGCTATAGACTTTGGCCCGAGTATGGAGTATGAAGCATCTAGCAGTAAGACAGTAACATACTTTAAAATCTAACCGAAATATTTACCTATTTTGAGAGAAATATCTTGACTGAAACTAATTTATTTACAGAGTGTCCTAATAAAAGTGATGCTATAGGACACCCTCACGATTTTCTTGTTTTTATAAATAAATCAATAAAACTCTGGGATTAGTCACAAAATCGATGGGAGATTATGTTCTCTGATACAGTGAAACCTCGTTAATACGAATTTCCGGTTAAGACGAACAGAATTTTACACAATTTTAGTCGTACAATGGAAATTCAATTGTTTTTACTCCGGTTAATACGTATTCCGGATAAGGAGTACAAATCTCGACGGTCCGTTGGTGTACGTATTAACTACAACACATTGACATTGCTGGTAATTTGGCAACAGTTAGGATGTCAATAATTCGGTACAGTAGTGTACCTTGTTCAATAATCACTTGCACTCTATACGTTGACAATTACTATGTATTTCTATTCAATACAATACTCAAATTACTTCTTTATAAAGCAACCATTATATACTTATAGAATACTTTTGGAAATACTCTATTACAAATCCGTTTTCACTTACCACTCCTAATTGTATCTTCTTTGACAGATCTTTTCGCTTACCCCTTAGTTATCACTACTATCAGTCCAAAAATGGCCACTGCAATAGATGATGAAAATTTCAGTGAACTGTTGGAATATGACGATGATACAACAGCTGATAAGAACGCTTCTGTTGACGGGACAGACGGTGTAGCTAAAAGAGATGTGAAAGGGACATACGTCTCCATCCACACATCTGGATTCAGAGATCTCCTACTCAAGCCAGAGATCTTGCG